ATTCAACTGGAGGCTTTTAAGATTTCTAAACCACCCTCCCTGATACCAAGTGGAATTTGGTAATATCCCAGGTTATTTTGTCAGCTGGCACCAATCCACTCATCGGTGGTTTTTGAGATTCACAAGACTATGCTACATTACTTAAGCAATTATACCAAGAAGCAAAGAACATTAACTAACAACACAAGTTAGACACATACACCTACTTGGTCATTGAGAGAGGTATTCAGTTGGACTAAGATACTGGATACTGAGTGTAGGCCAATCATGAATATGCAACTGTATAAGCGTTTCATATAATTCGCAAGGTGGTTTTATGCGGCAGATCACTCTAATTCCCATTTTACAAATGAGGGAAATAGATTTAAATAAACAGGTCTGAGTCGCCTGGAGTTAAATGCCAGCACTTCTGTGCTTATGTTTTTAACTACTACAACATGCAAAGTTCCTTGGGCCTATAGATGCCCATATACCTTGGAATAAAAGTTGCTAAAACTTGTCAAAAATAGATGAGAAGTTTAGGGGTCCTCTTTACTGCTTCTAGTTAACTGCTTCATCCATAGAAGAAAATGCCACTTTTTATTATATCGGGAGACTTCTCCATATAATTAAAGAATCAAACACATTCATGACATAGAGAAAAACTCTACAAAAAATGTAAATATCTGTTTTATAAATTTATAGAGAAATGATTAAAATCATGGGTCTTGAAGTCATCAGGTCTGAATATAAATCTTGGCATGTCACTTAAACAAATCTATGAAGGCGTAGTACCTTCAACTTTCAAAACAGCTACAGTATTCCACCAAAACAGCATTGGAATGTATGAAAACGCATATTTTGAAACCATAATGAGCTCTTAAGACTGAAGATTGAGGATGCAATTAGCAAAATTCAGAATATTAGATATCTTGATTACTATGTCAAATAATACTATTACTTCAACTAATGGTGGGTGTCCAACCAAATGAAATGTACACCTCATTTGGATCGCAGTGTGAACACATGCAAAACTTTTGAGCCAGTGGGCAAAGTTTGAGCACCATCTGGATATTTAGTGCTAAAGAATAACGTTGGCACTATTTTATGTATTATATAAGAAGGCTTATCTTAATTGAGATACACAAAAATATTACCAGTGTAAAGTCTGTCTGGTATTGCTTCAAAACAGTGTGGGGAAGGAAAGGAAATAGATTATGGACAAAATAATGTCAATGAGTTTATTTCCACTGGTAAGAAAGAAAATTACCAAATAACATGGCTGATCCTGCTCTTTCAAAAAGTTAGTGTCTTACAGAGCTAAATCAGAGGATCAGTCTCACCCTTTTTCTGGTAGAGCAGAGGGTGAGGAGCTAAACAAGCTTTTAACTGGGCCATCAGCACCCAATGTGCATCCAGTCTGCAAAATAGGCGGTGGGTGAGATAAAGTGGTAAGATCAGGCTCTCGAAGGAAATAATGTTCATCTAACAATCCAAGGTATCTGCTCTAAACTCAATTTTAGTGAAGTAAGCTGCAAAAATAGATGAATTCAAGCTCCTTCCATATTCAAGTGGCAGTCTCTTGCCCCAGTAATGTATGGAACTTAAAACAGAAGCTGTAAGATGAAATCCAGTGGTCAACAACAAATTGTGGATTCTGGTAACAGACTGGATGCATACAGGGAACCAGAAATGAGAGCTGGAATAATGATGGTGTAGTGTATAATTTAGAATCTGATTACATGCCGTCTGACACAAATGGCTCCCATGAAAAACAGGAATTTAAGTGTTAAACTGACTCACATTTTGATGAGGTTCTAATGTTTAATGGGAACTGATAAAGGTGAAACCAAGATTGCACCATAAATGTATGTAGCAAATTAAATGCACAGCAGCAGAAGCCACAGTCAAACTTCTGAATGTTCTGACCACCTACCCTCTCATACTTCCCCACCCAGCTTCAGAGAGAAGCAACTGAAAACAAAAACAGATTTTATAAAGGAATTTATTCTAAAGAGCAGCTTGAGCTCACTTCCAAGTTAACTCAGTGAACAATCTTAACATTTCATAGTCCTGACAGTGGTAATTACTTTGATTAATGCAGTTGACAAAAGATAACCATGAGGTTCTTAATGACCCTGTCATTAGATATATTCAAATAACTAAGAAGTTTTGGCTACTATCAGAATTTTCACAAAAAATATGGCTTAAAACCAAAAGGCTTCACTGACAAACCCTCAGAAAGCCAGAATAGCCCATTCTTTTCAACAGTTTAAATACACCAAAAAATATTTCAATCTTTTTATACTACATACCAAAATAGTATAATATTTGATTTCAAGTACAGAAACTCTGGTGGCAGAAATTTAGATAAGGATAGAATTTTTCACTTACCTTCTCTATCTTGCTGCCTATCCCTATATATTAAAACAAGTTTATTTTCATTTTAGGAACAAATACACCTAGTACATAATGCTTCTCACCACATCTTTTTCTGACAAAGCCAATTTCACAAATCCCAAGTGCACCAAATAGAGCTGTTTCCTTTCCTATTTTAACAACTCTTAGAATACTTCATAATGTGACTGTGTTGAGTAAAAAATATGCTGAACTTTCATTATGTTGCTCCATTGCTGCTTTGGTGTAAAGGACAGTGGCTAGACTTTTTGCTGAGGGCAATGGAACAACATAATCAGATTTACTTGCTCATTCAACATTTGTTTTTGAGTGCAAGGTACCATGTTAGGTGCCAGGAGTAATAGAAAAATACAAATATGAGTAAGAATGTATATTCCCCTTCAGGAACATACAATCTTGTGGAGAGACTTATTGCATACAAATAACTATTACCAGAGAGAAACTGTTAAGTGGCACAGGACATAAATTTCCACTGGAAGCTTTTTTAGCTCTCAACTTCAAAGTAAGGCCAGGTCAGAGAATGCAGATTTGGACTCTTAATCCATTGTCATCCGCGTAGCATGAGAAGGTAGCTGAGGGGATCTGGCAAGCTTTGATGACTGAGCTGCATATTAGATCTTGTTTCCTCAGCACTCTCAACTGAGAGGGATTCCAGTGATTAGCAAGGACACCTGCAACCACTAAAAGGCCAGAAGGACAAGGGAAGATGACACAAGACATAAACAGAAACATTTTGCACAAAGGCACACCCTATGATAAGTCTGACTGGCGGGGCCTGCGTACAGCCATCATGGAGGTACAGGGACGAGCAGTTATAAGGGAGAATACTAGACTAGCGATTGGAATTCCAGGTGTAATCTCTAGGGCTCAGTTCTCTGTCTTTAAAATGAAGTTAAATCAAATAACCTATTAGGCCTCTGCAACTCTCCAGTCATTGAGAAGCATGAAGAATTAATCTTTAGCATTGTAATAACAGAATTTAAAGTCAGTGCTTTTCTCTTTTAACACTTGTAGATTGGCTCCTAAAAAAAAAAAAAAAAAAAAAACAAAGAACTAAAGTTACCCACTCCCTCCTGGCTTAGATACAGACAAGAAATATAATCTTATTTGTTATTAATCATAGTTAATGTTTCAGAAGTAAAGCCTTCCTATTCTGTTATAAACAAGACACCTTTCTGATTTGCTCAGCCTCAGCAATCTGTACCTGAGAGTGTATAAAACTACTAGTAGAGATTCTCTCAAATACATGGGTTTCTATTTTGGTTAGCAAGAATACTAGAACAAAATGGTCTCAGTTCTCCAATGGTTTGAGTAGAATATTAAGAGGCATTGGTAGTTAGGGAGAGTAAAGGGACTTTTTTAAACAGAAGTTGGGTCAAAGGAAAAGAAAGATGTAAACAAAATAACTTCTCTGTTATAGCTTCTTGGCTCTTGGCCTGAAAGAAATAGAAGATAACCACAAAGAATGGTTTCTGAGACCCCCCCCAAAGAGGCCAATAGAACCAAGTTTACCTTGCCTACCATTTTACTGTGGCCAAAATACTACTACCAGACTTAAAATGTGGGTCAGCCTGTAGAGGGAAATCAGCTTATCCACCCAGTTCTGTCTCAACAGAGTAAGCAACCCCTCTGCACACTGCCATCAAAACATATTTGGCATAAATGCCAATACTGAAGACAGCACATTAAAGCACAAACTAGTACTGAGAGTAAACTGCCAGGTCATTTTATGCCACAAACAGAACGAAAGAGGTTAACTGCTTTCATCAACTGCAAGAGTTTACAAATAACAGTTACAAGGAACAGAGTTTGCTTGGATATTGCTATGTCTATGAAATGGCTTGTATTGGATTACTCAATTCACAAAGTGCTCAGTGCAGCAATAAAGAAGGATTACAGTCAATCTGGTACCAAGGAGAGCATTTACAGACTCAATTTACTGACACTGAAAGACTGACTAGTTCTGCTTCCAATCTGATAAGCATCTTCTACCAAATTATCTCCAAACGCATTTGATCACAGAGTTCAAATGCAATCGACTAGTTTGTAATATACAGACAAAAGATGGCAAAAGTCAGTGAGACTGGGTTTGAGGATGACTATGGAAAAAGTAGTTTTTAAATGAAAGCAATAGGATTTTACTTTTTTTTTTTTAATTTATTTCCCTTTCTATAAACTATTCAATTTTTATTGTATCCGGGCAAATGGCATATCGGGTTTCACAAATTGTGCAAAGAAATATCTTATTTTTTAATGTCATTTTTGTTAGCTTTCTTATGAGAAGATTTAGCTACTGTCCCATAAATCATTTAAACCATATTAAACATATGAAGCTGCTACAAAATAGGCAAAAGGGCAATTTGCCTTCTTCTTTTGTCCAGATAAGCAGTCGTATTTTGTACTCTGGCTTTTCAGTAGATTTGAAGAGGTGCTATACTCCTCTTCAAAATTTCCCTTTAGAGTGTGTCCTTTATTTTTTGGCATGCAAAACTGGAATGGCAGGCCTGTTCCTACATATAAATGTCTCCAAATACAGATGAAAAATACGTTCATATGTTGGGGTTCAAGGTAAAGTTGAGAACCAGAAATCTACAAAAACTCAATTCATGTTTTTTAAATACTTTATATGGTAAAAATACAGCAAAAATACTTTTTGTTCAAAGAGGAAAATATACTGCTATGGTCACGGCTCTAAGGGTGATTAAGTAGTCTCTGGCTCCTCAATTGTTCACTGTAGTCTGGGATGACTTCAACCATGGCTTCTCCAGCTTCAGTCATTTATCAAAGCTAAAATCATACTGTGGAGAGAAGAAATTAATGTTACTGATATTTGCTTAGAAATGTACGACAAAGTTTGGCCTGTCCACAGACATGTATCCCTAGAGTTTAATAAGGAACTCACTTGAGTAAAAGACAATCACTTAAACCTAAAGGAAAGAATCTCTACTTTTCATCTCAGTGCCATAATTTTTTCACTAACAAAGTAACTGGGATGTGGAAGGGGGCAAAAAATATCACCTAAAACTAGAGTTACGCTACAGTTTAGAATAAACATGCCATGCCCATATAGACTTTAATTCTCTTTGTAGATGCTGTCTATATGCTTAAAACCCTTCTCTCCCATCCCACCCGGCTCATTCTAGCAAATTCCTACTCAGGCTTCACTCTGGCTTTAAAGCATCATCTTTGGGATGTCAGTCTCCTTCCACAGCTTGCCATTTCCTGCTTGCTTATTTTACATGTTGGTCTCCACTAAATTGTGGGCTCTCCCACAATGGCAACAGAATCCAGGGATCACCTTCATAATCAGGGTAACAACCAAGTACTGCAATTACCAGACTCCCAGCTCTACATGGGGATTTTGTGCTTCTCCTTTGTGTCCTTTGCAATGCCTTACATGGTATCTGACACACACAATCAATTAATACTCCAAACTGCCACAGCTAATAACAGTAACAAAATCAATTCCTTTTATTATAATCAGCCTTGCTCTGTTGACCTCAATAACTAAAATACACAAAAACAGCCTGACAATGACTAAGGGTATTAAGTGATGTCAGACCACACACAGTACAAGTGATTGGCTGTCTTCATTTAACAATACTAAGTACTTGGTACACAGCACAAATTAATGATAATAGCTAATACTTTTGTAAGAATTTTGAGTTTACTACAGGCAGCAAAACTAAAGTGCCTTACAAGCATCATCTCCCTTCATATCACAATCCCATGAGATAGGTACTATCACTATTCTATTCTCAAATGAAGAAATCATGGCACCCGCACGAGTTTAAAGACTTGCCCCAGGTGCCCACCAAGTGGTAGATTCCAGATTCCACAAAGCTAGCACCTGACCACATTCCAAAGGTATAGATTCCACCAATCTCTAGAAAGATGCATATTTTTCCAATTTCATTTAGCCAACCCTGAATGTCTGCTATGTGCAAAGAACCATGCAAACTGTGACAAGTGATACAAACAGGAGCAGCACAAAAGCCTTGTCTACAAATCTGGTGAGTTGGTCATAAAACACTTAAATAATAACCAAAAGTAACAAAAAGTGTTACAAGGACTTCTATTCATTCATCCTGACTCCTTGAGTCAAAGTAATGCCAAGAGGTAAAAATAATAGCAATGTGGCTAAAATGACAAATTGAGGAGGGGTGGGGAACAGGAGAGAGAAAAAGGAAGGAATCAGCTTTGAGAAATGCAATTACTCAATAAGCCAGTTACTTACCCCAAATTGCTTTCTGATCCTTCCATTTCCCCACTCGTTAGCCTATGTTCTCATTGATTTAAATATAAAAACTGAAAGCTTATAAACACTTGCGCATTTTAAGTCTAACACTTAGTTCCTCTAATCCTATACTTACTCCCTAAGAGTCTAACTATACTGGCTGTAACCACAGCACTGTCTTAAGAAGTTCCAGTTAGGGGCCTCCCTAGTGGTCTAGTGCTATCACAGCTACAGCCTGACCAGCTAACTCACATGTGGCCCAGCAGACCTCTCCTGTCTTGCCCACTGCTCCCCTCAGCAGTGTATTTAAGTAAATCCAATGCCTGTTCTGCCCCCCATTTTGTCTCTGGTGAATCCTCTCCTCCCCACCCCTGCACCTCTGGCCTACACCCCAGGTCTTCTATGCAAAAAATAATAGTAATATTTTTTTTTAAATAAAAAATAAACTAAATTTAAAAAAAAGAAAATTCCAGTTATTGAGACCCAGGGAATATGCACTCTAGTTTGCTCTCCAACAGTATGAAATCTGGAGGGGTAGGGAGGATGAAGACACCTATATGACAATATTTTTTCCTCTTTCTGGCTCTATTCTATGGCCTTGTCATAACTAAAGGAATAGGAGACATGTTCATCTTTAAATCATAAGGTAATAAATTTAAATTTAAAACAAAACTACATAAGGCTTCCAGTGTCTGACAGCTTCTTCAAAATAATTCTTGTTGTAAGACCAATATAATTTTACCAGAGCAGGCACTTAGAATGCTGGAAATTAGGCATCACACCTAAATTTCTTAACACCAGAAAACATCAGCCCACACTGGATGTAAGCTGTTGAGAGCTGCTGCCATTGGCCTGATTCCCTGGAGACCCATGAGTGGTTCAGTCTCTGAAGGCACATATATTAATGCTTATAAAAAGCACTGAAACCTCACAGATGGATATTAGGGCAGGAAAAGAAAAGCAAAGAGCAGCTTTAAGCACACTCAGAACCTCAACAGCTAAGGAATAACTAATACCACCAGGTCACTAATTACAGGTCAGACAGAATGGTGATATAATGACATAACACAATTTACAGTCACAAGAAAGTCATATAATCCCCAAATGTTCTGCAATGTCAATTCCTATCCATCACATAAAATCTTATCCATTAAAAGGAGACATGGCACCCTGAATATGTCACAAGGACTATAAACTCACCTATAAAGATACATGAAGAAACAAAGCAAGTGGAAACCAAGCTTGATCATGGCTTCTTTCATGTGTGACTTCAGTTGCCCTCGATTGTGTATTTCTGTTGGATCAAACACTCCCATGTTACCACTAGGCACCATAATGAACCTGATAAATTAAAGGATGTACACACATTAGAAGGAAAATCAAATCATCAGCATAAATATTCAGACCAAATATGGACAATATTATCAGAATGTCATGGACAATAAATGTACATGATCTTTGTCTTTATAATTATAGGAAACTGAATCTAGAGACCTTATTGTCCCATAAGTAAAACTTGACAGAGCCGTCCTCCAATGTCTGTACCATATACAAAGATGCCATGCCAAAGCTTGCCCTTCCTCTGATATACTTTTATATCTTGTAGAGATGATGGATGGTGTGTATGGGATATCCACAGTCATGGAGGTTTTCACTCTGACTCCCAAATTTGTGTTCCACTTAGTTGGATCACAGGGAGTCCAAGATGTACTAATAGTCCATGTAGGGTTTCCTGTCTCACCATAAGTGTAAGGAGTCTATTTCCAGTGCTGAGCTCAGATTAGGTTATTGGTCTATGGGATGACATCAGAGAGCAATAAAATACTTGAAAGACAAAGACTTCTACCCCTCTGACCCACCCCCTGGGAGAGATTTAAAAGCTTTCCTCTAGCTCATCTTCTACTCTCATGACCTTTACAGAAATCATTTCCCACATTCACTCACTCTCATTTCTACTATGTGTTTTCTATCCTCTTGCTATTCCTCCTATAGCCTTCTTATTCTAACTGCACTTTGAAGAACCACATTAAAAAACTCAATGAATGATATACCTATATCAGTAGATATAATTAAAAGTAAAGTAAAACCAAAAAATTTAGTTGGATGGCAACCCACTAATGTAAAAGTAATACCAGATCTGTCAAAACTATTCCACAGTTCTTCACAAGAAAATATGCAATGTTTAATAACCAAACTATAAAATTATGTACAATTAGTGTTTTCACTGAGCTATGTTTAAACAAACTTCCTAAATATACTCAGTCAAAGTTTAGGTACCTAATATGCCGGCTTTGAAATGAAATTTTCTTTGGAGCATTCTAAGTATATATTAATTAAAAACTATTGACTTTTGAAAATTCTTAAAGAAAAAGGTTAAGACAATGAAATAAAGATGTCCCAAGACTTTAGACATCACAACTAACCATTACATATTTTTAGAAATTAAATAATGCTGTATTTCAAATTACATCTCAAAAAAATTAAAACATTACAGCTTTCAAACTTATTCGCGTAAACTTATGTTTTTACTATAAGACTGAGCCATGCAAATGCTACTGCCTAGTATAACAAAGTAAACAATTTATGCTTATTTAATTAAGCATTCTGTTGTCACTTGTGACTGGCACACATTTTATGGTAGAAGAGAAGGCTATTCAAACATTAATATTTTCTTTAAATTGCCCAAGTAAGGTTAAGTCTCAGCGATATCACCACTAAAGCCTGAGTTCAATCCCCAGCCAGGGGCTGACCCATATGGTAAAGGAAACCTCTCCTGTCTTGCCCACTTCTCTCCTCAGTAGTGTATTTCAGTAGATCCACCAGTTTTGACCCCATTCTGTCTCTGGTAAATCCTCTCATCCCTCAAACCTCTGTCTGACCTACACCCCAGTTCTTGTGTGCATAAAATAAATAAATCTTTAAAAAATAAACTGCCCTAGAATAAAACAGTAAACCAACCACACTCACCGATATATATTCCAAGTGGCAACAGGCAAATTGAGAAGGAAGATGAACCAGTGCAATGAAATGAGCATTAATACAGTAACAATTGTATGTCCGATTAATTCTGGAATTACCCACTGCAAAGGAAGAACATAGTTATTATATTTCACTGCTGTTTTCTTCTTGAAGAAAACAGGTACCTCAATGAATACACAGGGAATTTACATATAAGTGCTTAAAAATTATTTTTAGACTTAGATGTCCCAGATTTGCATACCGCTGTAACTGTTTACACCATGCAATAATTGATCAGGACACAGCTTAAAAATAAAGCACTTTAATTTCAATTACATTTTATCCTAAGTAGAGGTCCAGATTCATTTACCAAGCAAGTCTCAATGACAATCTGGGGGAAAATACTTATTATTTATTCTACCACCCTGCTAAACTCTTACTCTAATTTGGGATGGGCTATATCCACATATATGCTGCCTTTCATATTAGAATATCAACCCTTAACACTTCCAATGCCAGAATCCTGTGGGAAACATTACAGATTTAACTGAACCCTTCCCCAAAGTACTTTAATAGCTTACAGTAACAGTTCAAAGTTAAACAAATATAATGAACCAGGATAAGAATCCCAACCCTATTGGTTTTATCACACCCAATGCCCTTATCTGTTCCCTTTAAGAGGGAGTAATGTGCAATATTCTCATTTCATTGCATCAACAGCTATCATGGCTAATTCTCAAGTCACGAACTATTGTCTTCTCCTATAGAGATTTTTCTTTTAATGGAAGTTAATAGTTAATATTTATGGTATTCCCCACTTGCAAAAATGAGGAAAACCAAACTCAGAGAGGGTAAGTAACTTGCCTATGATCATTGCTACTTAGTGGCAATATAGCATAAAACTACACAGGCCTCCGGTCTTGTGCATTCAGATTTTAGATACTGCTTTGAAAACAAAGAAAAGAATTTTTTGCATCTTAAACCTGATTTGCAAATTAGAACATTTCAATAAGCATTTTAAACAGTGTAAACCAATTTAACATAATATTTACAAATGTGAAAGCAAAAAACCTGAAATGGAATCCATGCTCTATCATATTTACTAGCTGTGCAATCCCACTAAGTTACCTATCCTCTTTAAATGATGTTTCTCTCATCTGTAGAATAGATATAATAATGCCTATCTCTTGAAGTTGTTTTAGAAAATCAGATGAAAGAACATATGTGCCTCCCTGGTGGTCTAGGAGTTAAGTCTCAGTTCTATCACTGCTACAGCCTGAATTCAATCCCTGGCCAAGGAGCTAACTCACTATGGTGCAACAGACCTCTCCTATCTTACTCACTGCTCCTCTGCAGTGTATTTCAGTAGATCCACCTGTTCTGCACCCTATTCTGTCTCTGGTGAATCCTCTCACCCCCTCCCTATTGCTCTAACCCAAACCACAGTTCTACACACAAAAATAAAAAAAAGATTAAGAAAAAAAATAACACGTAAGCTATATGCAAAATAAGTACTGAAGGGCTTTAAAGATGTATCTGAAACATCTTTGTAACAAGTACATAGAAAACTAAGGAAATGAAGAAATAAGACAGTAACACCAAGAAAGACAAAGCTATTGAGAAAAAACAAAAGAAAGAAAAATATGATTGCTGCTATGAGGCTCCCAATTAAAAAAAAAAAGAAAGAAAGCTATCTTATTATAATGTAACAATACATCATAATGATCTAAACACTGAGTATCAAATACCCAAAAAAGAAAAACAGATGATAGGAGAGATGTTTAGGGAAGGAGGTACATAAATTAAATCTATCATATCAACGCAAAAATCCTTAGATACCATTTTAAGTTGATAAATCCAGAAATAGTAGTACAAGTATATAAAAAACAAGAAATATGGACATAAATACCAGGAGAAAATGACAGTTCAAGTTTGAAATCACCTGTCTCAAGACAGGATTGAAATAGGTCAGGGAAAGACTGTTTTCCATTTTTAAGTTTTATAGCATCTTTGCCTTAAGTTATGTGCAAGTTATAATTGTAGAAAAATTAAAATTAAAATGTTTACTTAACATTACATAGGAGTAACTTTCTCAGTAGAATAATCAGTGACCTTTTCTTTATATTTATATATAAAAGAAAACCCACAAAATATCCACCTAATATTAAGGAAACAAGAAATGATGAAAAATACATTCTATCTGAAAAAAATATAAATGTATGTCATTTTTCTGAAGATTGGAAGGAATATATAATTTACTAGAAATGTTAAAGTTCCACATATAACTGTATTTCACTTACCAGCCAGAGAATGGTAAATAGAATAAATGTGTTAAAGGACACATGGGAAACAATTTTAGGTCAAGCCAAACACCTCTCTGCATTGTTTTTTATATGAACTTTAATCCAGAAAGCTGTTCTGTCTGTTCATGTCATAAAATGAATCAAGACCAACTGGTTTCCCTGTAGCTACAAAAGCTTTGCAATTCACAATATCCTTGCCAATATAAGTTCTGACTCTATGCTAAGGTAAAATGGCCTTAAGACAAGTCAAGTAATTCTCAGCAAGTCACATACACAAAAAAAGGCCTTTTTCAACAAAAGACAGACTGAGATTTTTTTCCATGAGCAAGAGGAGGGGGTTTGGACACAAAAAACAAAACAATTATTCTCATAATGAACTTTTGCCTGGTTTGAGTAGTAATGCCTAGGAGGGACAAAGAAATAGAGAAAGAAACAAAATTTTGTTAGGTCTTCTAATGCAGAATCATGAACTAAAATGCTGCAAAACACAGTAGTTTTGCCAACATTCCAATGAATATAAAACAACATGCACTCTAAAATAAAATATACAGAAAATGGAAAACTGGCTTCAATGCCAGAAATGACCAAAAAAAGTCTTACCTTGTTTAGTTTTGAGCAACAAGATCTAGCATTAATGTAATCACATTCTAAATCAGAAAGTGTAATTATCTGATGATCAAGATAAGGAAATATTAGACTTCTTTTTACAATTATGTATTTTTAACTTTCAGAAAAAAATTTAGTTATCTCATTAAAGTTTGTTCACTAGGCAACTCAGTTTTCTCATTTGTTTTTTCAACACACAGTGACTATAGTTAAGACTATACAAACTAATTAAATGTCAAAAAGATGATTTCCCAATACTAGAAAAATACTGTTTATAATATATACATTAAAAGTTTTTGAAGAGGGCCTCCCTGGTAGCACAAGTGGTCAAGTCTCAGCACTATGAAGCTATCTGTGGTCACTGCAGCATGAGTTCAATCCTCAGCCAGGGAGCTGACTCACATGGCGCAGCAGACCACTCCTGTCTCACCCACTACTCCCCTCAGCAGTGTGTTTCAGTGGATCTGCCTCTTTTGCTCTCCATTCTGTCTCAGGTAAATCCTCTCACCTCCCCACACCTCTGGCCTACACCCCAGCTCTTGAATGCATAAATAAATCTTTTATAAAAAGTTTTTGAAGATATGAGAAAACAAGATACAGAACCAAAAATATAGCATGTTAGAGTGGCTGTATCATAATTTGGTTTACAGATTATTTCTTTTCCCTATTACTTTTCTCTATTTCCCAAACATTTCTTAATAAACATATACTGTAATTAAGCAAAAAAAAAAAAAGGTTAAACAAAATATAAATTCACAGAGGGGCAGACACATACATCTGCATGACACAATGCCTAGGATTTACTTTATAATAATCCACTCCACACTTAACCCCCAATGAATAGGATAAAAAAATGTTGAAAAGCACAGAAGATGAATGACAGAAACATAGGGCTTATTTACACTTATCTATGTTTATGTTAGAAAATGTACAGAAAAGCAAGAAAAAAACCAATGTTTACACTAAATTCTAAATATTTGCATACAAATATCCCCCCATCAACTTAACATAGCCAAACTGAAATTCATCACTTTGTCCACAAACTGCTACCCCCTCAGTTGGTTTTATAGTGTCAATAATACAAGCATCATGTGCTCAGGTTCACAGTATGTAAATTATTTCTGACTTCTGGTTCTTAGCTCATAATCCATCATTACCAGATTCTATCAATCTTCTCTTTCCAATAACAATCACGTTAATTTCTCCTTCACCTACCTACAACTAGCTTTCTATTTCAAATCCAGGCAAACCAATTCACTAATGGTTTGTTACCTTCCAGTCTTTACTGTTTTCAACCATTATACAGATTCATATTCCTAAGGCACTACTTTGTTTAAGTAAAAAATTTTCATTTATGGGGTTTGAGGGGGGAATGTGATCAGAACTGCAGTGGGAAGAGTGCACTGGACTGTGGTAATGGCACACAGGTGAATTGGTGGTGGAAAGCCCGTGGGGATTACAACTGAGATTTAAAAAAAAAATGCACAAAATGAAGAATGATGGGAAAAAAATAAAAATAATAAATTAAAATTATTTCAATAGCTCCCTATAGTCTATGGGATAAAAGTGAAAAGTCCTCCCTTTCATAATACCCAAACCCTCCAAAATTTGACCTAATCCTAACTTTCCAATCACATGCTCCAGATGGTATATTCCTTAACCCCATCACCCAGAAAAGACACAAACATACCTGACTCTATAGTCTCTTGCCTATATTTGATTTTTAATAATTACCCCTTTCTTATCTGTAGGTTTAGTTCACAATGCAAAGTCCAGGGTAATTTCTATTCCTACAAAATATTTACCCTTACCACTTTCAGCCGTATGTTGAATTTCATCAGAACACCTTGAATGTACCTTAATGTCTAAGTCAAATATTACACTTAACATCTTTCTACAGTTTATGTAGAAACAGATCTTTATGTCAGTTTCTTTCTAACTATAGAAAGATGATAATTTTTTCAAACTGCAAAAACTATTTTTATAGCAGCAAAGTTCTTTAAGTCATCAAAATTAGGTGTTAGGTCATCAAAATTAGGACAATTAATGCTGCTAAACCTAAAAACAATCAGGGTTCTCCTCATGAGAAATCACCAGTTAAAGCAAAAACTGCTAATACAGCCTGGCTTTATTGTAATGATTTGTATAAATAATAGTTCTAGGACCCTCTCTGGTGGCACAACTGGTAAGGACTCAGCACTGCAAGCTAGCCGCAGCTGCTTCAGTGTAAATTCGATCCCAGACCCACGAGGTGATCCACAGAGGGTGGCAGACCTCTCGCGGTCGCCGTCTGCTCCCCTCAGCAGTGTACTTTGTCAATCAGCCTCTTCTGATCCCTACTCTGTCTCTGGTGAATCCTTTCACCGCTCCTGCATCTCTGGCCTGCACCCCAGTTCTGTATGTATAAATAAATAAATCTTAAAAAAAATAAATAATAGTTCTAAATATAAATGAAGAGTTCATAAAAGACTACTTTAGAAAATATGCTCTACAGGCCCTCCCTGGTGACGCAACGGGTTAGGACGCAGCACTGCAAACTGGCCACAACCGCTTCAGTGAGAGTTCGATCCCAGACCCCAGAGTTGACCACATGGTGCGGCAGACCTCTCCTGGTCCGCCCACTTCTCCCCTCAGCAGTGTACTTCTTCAGTCCGCCTGTTCTGCTCCCGACACTATCTCTGGTGAATCCTCTCATCGCCCTTACACCTCTGGCCTTGACTGCATAAATAAATCTTCAAAAAAAAAAGTGAGACATGCAGACCAAACCAAAGTAGTTCACTTAGTCTAAACTAAAGAAGTTCATTTAGTCCATCTAAAGACTCATGAGTATGAAAAGTAAATGCCTATTGTACTACAATAAAAGGAGGTTAGGGAGGGAGAAACCTTGGAATACATTTTTTAAAATAAAGATCCCATGAATTTGTACTCTACAAATAAAAACTGCTGCTCATTGGGCATGGGGATGGGAGTGGAGGCAAGCAATATTTATTCAACATTGGTACTGTTCTAGATGCTTAACACCTATTCTCATTGTACACACATATCTGGTAATTGAACATTACACACACACACTATTTTTTTAAAGATTTAATTTATGCATACAAGAACTGATTACAGGTCAGAGGTCTGAGGGGGGATGAGAGGCTCACAGAGACAGAGTACTGAGCAGAATAGGCAGACTGACTGAAAGACACTGCTGAGGGTAGCAGTGAAAGTCTGATGCCTGCTGTGACCTGTGGGTCACTCCCTGGTGGGGAATCCAACCCATGGCTGCAGAGGCTACGGACAGCCTCTTTAACCCCACACATTATAAGTGTAAGAAAACTAAGGCAAAGAGGTGAAATAACATGCATAGCAAGTACCTAGCTAAGCAAGGAGTCTGGATTCCAAATGCTGAGCCTTGCCATTACAATAGGCTGCCTGTTCGTTATAAATTATGAAGCCAACCTAAAAATACACTCTGTACAACTACCCTGCAGCAAACAAAAAAAAATTAATTTAGTCATAAGGGGGCACATGCAACTTCCAAAGAAGTTTTCTCCTTTAATAATTTTAATTACTTAATTTGCTTCCTTAAAACTGGAGTGTTCATTACAACACTGGGCGACTAAGCCTAGAAGCTCCCTCAAAAGTAGGGAAGAGCTGTAGCCCAAGAGACTAGTAGAGTGCTAGGTTGCACAACCATTTATTGGCCTCGGATATACAGTTTCAATACTGTAACATGAATGGCCATATAAATGGCTGACATTTAAAACACAGAAAAGTGTAAGAAGTTGAGAAAGGACTGGAAACTAAATCACGTGTGTTATTACTGAATTTGCATATCTGCAACCTCCAGGGGCAACCAAAATAATCACTTGCAGATTGTTTTTTAAAGAAATCCTTCCTCAAGCTCATTACAAGATGGCATCGTGAAGGAAGGCCTTCGAGTTTTTGAAATGAGTCAACTTCTGAGTGGGAAAAGTCCTTACAAGTTCCAGTGCTCGCCAGAACAAAGGGGCGGGCGCGGGGGAGTCGCCCAAAGAATGACAAGCGGCGGCAAATCACTCCAGCACCTAACTGTCCCCGAGTGACCGCCAGGACCCCCGGCATCCGAAGGACCCGCCTGGGACTCTCCAAGAAAACCCGCGACCCTTGTCGCTCGAGCGCGAGGACCCTACGGAAGGAAGATCGTGAAGGTCCTCCCGCCGGAGGACCGCAAGGGCGGCCAGGAGACTGCCCGAGCTACTGGGGGCGTCTTGGAGCGAGCGGCGGCGCTGCGGCCGGGGCCGACACTCCGGGAAAAGGCCCGTTCGGACCCCGGGCAGGGCGGCCAGCTGCCCGGTGGGGAGCGGAGGCGCTCCTCCCGGCCGGACCGGCGCCCGCGGGATCCGCGCTCGCCTCGGGCTGCCTCGTCCCTCGCACCTGCCTGGTCCCCACCCGGGCCCACCCGCAGCCCCGTCCCTCAGGCGGCGGGCCCAGGCCAGCTTCCGCACGCCTCAGGCAAGGATACGAAGTACACTGAGAGGAAGATGAGCATGCAGCAGTCGAGGAGCGAGAACACGAACACAACTGCCTCCATCCTCTGCCGCCTTAGCCGCCGCCTCTCTTCAGTCGAACCGGCTCCAGTGCCCGGACCCGCCCCGCCCTGTTAGGCCAGAGTCCGAACTCGCTAGAGTCAAGAGGCCACTCAATTCTAGCACTGCATGCCGGGAGTTGTAGTCCATTTACAGACTAATTTAGCGCCATAATTCTGATGCACCTTGGGAAATGTAGTTCATGAGTATGAATCCCTAAAAAGACAGGCGCCGCGCTTCCACCCTAAATCTGATTTCCAGAAATTGACAGGCAATTAGTCAACAAGTACTTAATGAAAGCTTGCAATCTACTAGATACCCAGCAGATCATTTTTTCCGTGTGCGAAATTTCCGATAGCTTCTCTACTGGATCTACTAAATACCCTGATTTGGAAATGGTAAAGAAATTTTCACCTCAAAGTACAAATCTAACCTCAACACTCCTGGCTTAACTGTAGAGACACGTCCCTCCCTATCTCAGTTCCTCCGGAAATTTCAAAATACCTGCCTTACTTTTTGTTACAGCAATGTGTCTTTCCGTTCTAGAACTCAAGATCTTTGAGAAATGAGTAAGTTGGCATATTCATCCATCCATTGTTATTCAGTTAAATAACAAATATGACTCCACTGCAACAAGCAAAGAGTGAGACAGAGAAATGAATATGGAGGAAAGACAATGTTCTCATGGGGTGGCAAATCAATACAGGAAAAAGATAATTTAAAGAACAATAAACTCTGCAGCAAATTGCATCAGTCATTCAACCAATATTGTCTCAATTGCTAGTATAAACCAGGTACTAGACCTGAGGGATGTGTAATGAGTAAGATAAGTCTCTACATTTTTATAGCTTCCATTACAGTGGGGTTGAACGAACACATGTACTAAAGACAAGCAGTTTTAAGTGCTTTGAAGAGTAGGTTGGAGGACACTTAGAGACTGATCATAGGTCAGGCTGAGGAACTGACATTTTATTTGAAATTTAACGAAAGCTACATGAAAAGTTATGGGCATTGTTTCAGAGGGGGGAAAGCAGTAATTGTAAAGGTCCAATTGCTAGTAGAAATACAGTTTGTTTAAAGAACAGGCCGTGTACAAAGAATTTAACTTTAATTCTAGTAGCAAAGAGTTTAAATTTAATTCTAATATGATACTAAACCAGTGGAAAGGCTTAAGTATTATCTAATTTACATTTTAAAAATATCCTTCTGTATGGTGCACTGATGTACAATAGAAAAACAAGGTTATCTTCAAGAAGACCACTGAGTGTGAAGATAAAACCAACTGGATTTGCCTGACAACGCACAGGTTCTTAAGGTCATAAAGGGTTCATAGGTTAAAGCTAGAAGAACTATTAACAGATTACTTATAAACCAGTTATCACTGCACTCTCACCGAACCTTGTATATACCTCTATCAAATAACTCGCCACATTCTCTTTCTTGCAGTCTAGTTAGACACACCTTAATAACAAATTCTACTAGTCTGCACTCCAAGTGTCTTCTACCCTGTTAATAATAGCTGGTGCTTAATAAATGTTTGCCAGTTGAATGACTAGAACTAACTTTGAAGGAGAGATTTTATTAAAATTAGTCCAGATTTTATTAAAAACATAGACCTCACTTCACACACACTCCCATCTAATTGGAATAGATAACACAGACTATTCCTTAGTTTTTGTCTACTGTTTTATCCTGAGTAAAATAAAAAGTTGGGTTCATAATCTCAGGTAAGAATGATCAGTTCTGACCTTCCCTAGTGGCACAATGGGTTAAAGCACAACACTATGAAGCTATCTGCAGCCACTGAGCTTAATTTCCATCCCTGGCTAGGGAGGTGATCCAGATGGCATAGCAGACCTCTCCTGTCTCTCCCGCTGCTCCCCTCAACGGTGTATTTCAGTACATCTGAATGTTCTGCTCCCCACTCTACCTCTGGTGAATCTTCTCACCCCCCCCACCCCAAACCTCTGGTTTGTACCCAGTCCTGTATTTATAAATAAATCTAAAAGAAAGGAAGAAAGAAAGAAACACTAAATAGCATGTGTGTGTGTGTGAGAGAGAGAGAAAGGATTAGACTTTTAAAACATATGGTCCAAAAAAAAAAACATATGGTGTAAATTTTTTTAATACAAATAGAAATGTTTCAGCTGGCATAAAAGGACTTGGAAATTACTACTGGATCCCAACAAATAAAAAGCCAAACAAACTGAAAAGTCAATAACTCTTCTTCAATCTGTCAGAGAAGTGAGGTCACGGGACAAACTGCAGCTCTAAAAATGGGAATTGAATACAGAAAATCACAACTTACCAGAGCAGAAACCCACAATCAAAAGCCTCTGGGGAATCAGTGCTGGCAAGGAAAATATGAACTGTAGTGGATGAAAAGGTGAAGGTTCAGTGTAGACAAATCTAAATATTAAAAGTGGGTGACAGTAACACTTTTACGACTGTTACCTCCTAGATTTCTACATTTTTTTGTTTGTTTGTTTGTTTTGGTCAAGAGCACAGGAAAAAAAACATTGTTCAGCTGGGCTACAGTATGCAAAAAAGAAGAAGAAGAAGAAGAAGCTAGATTATTATCTCAGACCATACACAAAAATAAGTTCAAAATGGATAAAGACTTGAATGTAAGACCTGACACCATAAAATACAGAGAAGAAAACATAGGCAAAACACTCTAAGATATAAACCTCAGAAACATCTTTGAGACTTCTGCAGAAGCAAGGGAAACAAAGGAGAAGATAAACAGCTGGGACTAAATCAAACTAAAAAGCTTCTGTGCAGCAAAAGAGACAATAATCAAAACAAAGAGACATCCTACTGATGTCTCTAACATCACAGACAGATAAGAGACTGATAGTAAAGATCTACAAAGAACTTAACACAGCTCAACAAAAGCAAAGCAAACAACCCAGTCAAAAAATGGGCAGAAGAACTAAAAAGATACTTCTCTAAAGAAGAAATGTAAATGGCCAACAGGCATATGAAAAAATGTTCAGCTTCACTAGTTATCAGATAAATGCAAATCAAAACCACAATTAGATACCACCTCACTCCAGTACGAATGGCACACATGAAAAAAGATAGAAACAGAAAATGCTAGAGAGAATATGGAGATAAAGGAACCCTCTTTTCACTACTGGTGGGAATGTAAACTGGTCCAGCCACTATGGAAAGCTTATGGAGGTTCCTCAGAACACTAAAAATGGATCTACACACACACACAAAAATGGATCTACATTGACTCAGCATTCCACTCCTAGGAATCTTCCCAGAGGACACAAAACACTAAGTCAAAAGGAAATCTGCACTCCTATGTTAATTGCAGCACAATTTATAATAGCTGAGATATGGAAACAACACAAATGCCCCAAAATAGATGAATGGATAAAAAATTTGTGGTATAATTATACAATGGAATATTACTCAGTGATCAAAAAAGACAAACTCATGCCATTTATAGTAACAAAGATGGAACTGGAATGGATTATGCTAGGCTAAAGTCAGAAGGGAAAAGATAAATACTGGATGATCTCACTTATATGCAGAATACAGAGAAAACAAATAAAAGGTCAAGGAAAAGATACAACTAGCAAGCTGACCAAAGAACTGAAGCCTACAGAAAAGGAGAGGGAGAGAGAAGGCGCAACATGGGAGGGTGGAACACAGGGAATATGGAGATAGTTCACAGGTGGTATGATGGCAGGAGAATGATGGGAGCCACAACAACAACAATGTAAGAAAAAAAATGTTTAAGATTTATTTTATTTATTAATGCATACAAGAATTGGTATAGGGCAGAGGTATGGGGGCTATGGGTGAGGGGATTCACTAGAGACAGAGTAGCAGAACAGACAGATCTACTGAGATTCACTGCTGAGGGGAGCAACAGGTAGGATAGGAGAGGTCTGCTGCACCATGTGGGTCCACTTCCTAGCCGGGAATCAAACTCATGCTACAGTGGCTGCAGATAGTGTCATAGTGCTGACACTTAACCCCTTGCACCAAGAGGGAGGCCCAACAACAACAAAAAATTTAATTAATAATAAATAAAATCTAAAATAATAAATCCAGAAATAAAAGAAAAGAAAAAGAAAAAAATTAATAATAAATAAAATCTAAAATAATAAATCCAGAAATAAAAGAAAAGAAAAAGAAAAAAAACCCTCTTGTGCTTCCAGCAGGGTAAAAGAATGCTAAGGTCACTAATGGAAAAGGCAGACAGATAGATAATGTAAGCAAAGAGACAGACATTCTAGGAAAGTATCAAATGAAATGCTAGAGATCAAAAATACTGCAACATCAATCGAAGCTGTTTTTCATAGGCTCATTAGTAGACTGAAAATGGCTAAAGATAGACTCTGAGCCTGAGAATATGTCAAACTTTCAGCAAAAGGGGGCGGGGGGGTGGGGTGGGACTGAAAAGTATGAAACCATATTGAAGAACCATGGGATAACTACAAAATACAGTGCATGATAGAAATACCATTATATGCTGGGTCAACCAAAAAGGCAAAATAGGAGCTGTTCTTTGTAAAGCAGGACACAGGTCACTCTTATTTATGAACCAAAAGTAAAGAAGAGGATGTTAACTGGCTGTTTAGGAAAAAAGTATGGTGTTGGCACCGCCACTAGGTGGGGCTGCATGATCAAAGCATGAAGGACAATGCAATTATTGCAGGAAGTTCTTGAGATGTTACGTACGGCACTGTAAATCTGGCCACTGAAATTGAAGTAAGCTGTCTTTAGGGTAATCATCGCTCAAAATTATTAATCATAAAATGTCCAAGCATACCATTATTGATAACTAATATTAATTTACTTTTTATTATTTCCTACTGTATTCGATGCAGAGCAAGGTGAAAAACAAACTCCTTGACCTTGAGAAGTTGGCATTCTAGAGCATTTCAAGTCCATATGAAATACATAATTTGCAAGGTCCAGTGAAAAATTAAAAAAATTTCAAGATGGCAAAAGCAGAACATTAAACCAAGTATTGGGCCCTGATTGCACAGATCAAACACCTATGAATCTAACCCTAAATATAGGACAGTATTCTAGCAGAGATTATAAACTGCTGCTTGGTATATGCCGCTGGGTCCATCAGCCTGTTTTCCTTCTAGGAGGCAGATTTGATATTGGCAGAATTAATTTACAATTTTTTAAAGATTCATCTATTTATATACACATAACTGGGGTATAGGCCAAAGGTGCAGAGGGTCACAGGATTCACCAGAGACAGAGTGGGGAGCAGAAGAGGCAGATCGACGAAGTACACTGCTGAGGGGAGCAGGGGCGGGTCAGGAGAGGTCTGCTGTGCCAAGTGGGTCACCTCCTTGGTGGGAAATCAATCGAACTTGTCCTGCAGTGGCTGCAATAGCTTCATAGTGGTGTGCTTCAGCCCGTTGCGTCACCAGTTGCGCCACCAGGGAGGGCCCTAAAATATTCAATAAATAAATAAAAGAAAAGTTCTCACCTCAAGAATGGGGGGGGGGTTATGGACGGTGATGAATGTTAATTGATTTTATTGCGGTGATCAGTTCACAAAACATACAAATATTGATCTACTATGCTGGATACACGAAACTAATACAGTGCAATGTCAGTTACACCTCAAATTTTGAAAAAGTATAAACTTTTCTGTTAACATCTCACAGCCTTCTCAATTCCATCTCCTCCCTCTTCATGCCTCTGCATACTACAACACACTACAATACACTGCACTTCCTATTGTCAGAAGTCTCACGATAAATGTTTTGGAGGCAACATACACATTTATTAAAATTCTCAGCAGTTTTTAGGCTAAAGTAGTCTTGTACTGGACAAATTATCTAAAGCTAGTTGCCTAAGGTCAATTGGTTTCCCCAGGTAACAGACGGATTCGTTTTCTGGATAAACCTAGTCTTTTTATATACAACTCCTTGTGGTCTCAGTAATGTAGGTGCTTAGGTGGGAAAGCAAACAAAATGGGTGGTTTTAATCCTGCTCGATTAACCACAAACGTCTACAGCTTTAAATTTTGTTAGGATTCTAGGTCAACACTAACTTTACATTCCAAAAGGGTGAGGCCTCCAGGGATGGAACTGCACAAAAAGGTTTACCTATAGACACCGGTGACCAGGCGCCTAGCAGAACCTCCCCGCACGTGTCCATACAAGAAGAAACAATAAAGTTGCACACATTCAAAAGGGTCCTTTTCATCCAGGGTCGGTTGGACACGCCTACAAAATAAGACTAGAAACTCGCTAATGTTTTCAAGACTTCTAGTTCTAGTAGGTTTTTTTTTTTCTTTCTAACTCGTGGAAATAAAAATTCTGAAAGAAACGGAGCAGGCTAGGCCTGGCGAAGCTCTTTTCGGGTGCCATTGGCCTGGCGAATGCGACGGGCAGCCCCGGACAGGACCCCTGCTCACGTGGACCAGCGACCTAGGTGGTGGCCGGGGGAAGAGACGCGATGAAGCCCAGATCTGTAGGCTTCGTGGATAATAAGCTGAAGCAGCGAGTCATCCAGGTGTGTATTCTGTAAGTACAGCGGTCCTCGTTCCTGTCCAAGGGCACCGCTGGCTATTTCTCAGGCGGCTCCCAGGTGGAACTCGACTAGCCGCCTGCCCCAGTCTGGTTCCGGCACGGGTGTGTTGACCATTCCTCTGCGGATGATGTTGGGTGGAGTTTCAAGGTGGAGCCCCAAACTGTGGGAGGGTGCTGTCAGGTGGGCCTGCCTGGAGCTGGTCCACCTCAGCTCAGCCCAAAGCGTGCAGATAGGCTTTGAGTTCAAGCCTTACTTGTTTTGTGAAGTAAAAGCAAAAAAAAAATTCTTCAGATGGCCTCATTGCATTGTACGAAATGCTTTGGGGCCATAAATACGTTTATTTCTGTCCTCAGAATACACAATAACGTGGACCTAACATAATACATAATAGGCACTTTACCCAGAGTTTTTTCATTATCACAGTCTGCCCTATAAAGCGGTGTGTGGTAAATATCTTAGAATGACACCGCCATTCTAGAAGGGTTAGATTTTTCTTCACTTTAGAGTTTGGGTATTGTAATATCCTCGTTTTTCTTGCATTACTGGCAGTTTGCTTACAATCTTCTATTTAGATCTTTTTCTTTCTATCAGTATCTAAATGTTGAACAAGAATGTCTGTATTCTTACCTTTTTTTCTTTGCTGTCATATTCCTCTTATCAGCCCACATTTCATAGATAATCTCATCCAGCCTAATACCTTTAAATATTATTTACATCTTTATGGCTTCTAATTTTTTTAATCTTTGGTGCAGATTTTATCTTGAATTCCTGATTGATCCATCCAACTGTCTACACAGAATCTTTTTATAAATGTCTGACAGTTATCTTCTTCATCTGTAAAATGCGGGAGACTAACATCCATTTCATGGGATTTTCAGTACTACTAGAAATAATGGGTAAAAGGGCCTAGAACAGTAATTTCCTAGTATTTTTTCATGAACTCCTGGACCAAAAATACTACTTAATGGGTTTGTTTATGAAGTAGTTAGGTTCAGACAACTTGATAAGTACATAATCCATGCTTAGCAGTTATTTGAAGGAAAAAAAGATATACAAATTAAAGGAAAATTATTGTATTTGTATTTCATTTTTAAATAATCACAATTACCGGAAGGATTTGTGTGCCTGTTGCAATTTTTCATTCCTTGCAGTCACATTGCATTGTCACTCACCTTGTTCCCACATTGATTTTTTTAAAGATATATTTATTTATGCATACAAGAACTGGGGTGTAGGCCAGAGGTGTGGGGGTGTGTTTGTGTGAGAGAGAGAAGATCCTCTAGTGAGAGGATTCACCAGAGACAGGATGGAGAACAGAAAATACAGATACACTGAAATACACTGCTGGGGGGAGAGGTGAGATAGGATGTCTGCTGTGCCATCCCGGTCAGCTCCCTGATGAGGGATGGAACTCATGCCATAGTGGCTGGTGGTTAAGCTTGATCTGGGCCACCAAGGAGGCCCCCCCCCCCACAGTGATTTTTGCATGATATTAGCTTTTTATTATAACTGCTCAGTACCAAATTTTGCAAAGATAGGACATGTTCAAAGGGTGATTTAATGTTGAAACTGTGAACTGTCTCAGGCTAGTAGTTGTAATATCAGTCACATGTCAAATATTTTTGTGTTCCCTTAACTCAAAATTATACCTCAGTGCCCTTCTGAGTTTACTGCTGTATTGTGTAGTGTTTGGGACCTAGGACACAGTAACACCTCACTAATTTAGAGCTATTCGACTTATTGTGTTGTCACAGTGAGCACTAATTTAAATAAATTATTTGATTCCACAATCAATAATTATTTGGTGATTTTTATCTATGTTTCTGGTATGTTTTATTAAGGAGGAGTTTACATTAAAGTATAAAGGGGATCTCCCTGGTGGTGCAAGGGATTAAGTCTCACTCAGCATGATGAATCAATCCACAGCCACTGCAGCACAAGTTCAATCCCCTGGAAGCTAACCTACATGGCACAGCAGACATTTCCTGTCTCCCCCTACCCCCGCTGCTCCCCTCAGCAGTGTATTTCAGTGGATATGCCTGTTCTGCTCCCCACTTTGTCTGTGATGAATCCTGTCACTCTACTACACCTCTGGCCTACACCCCAGATTTTGCATAAATAAATAAATTTTAAAAATAAAACAGACCTGGCCCTCCCTGGTGGCGCAGCGGGTTAAAGCACAGCACTGAGAATCTGAAGCCACTTCCGCATGAGTTCGATTCCCGCCTGCCGCCTGCCCCGGAGGAGACCACATGGCGAGCCAGACCTCTCCTGGCCCGCCCGCTGCTCCCCTCAGCAGTGTACTTCATAGATCTGCCTGTTCTGCTCCCCACTCTGTCTCTGGTGAAGCCTCTCACTGCCCCTGAGCCTCTGGCCTGTACCCCAGTTCTGTATGAATAAATAAATAAATAAATCTTAAAAAAAAAAAAATAAAAAAAATAAAACAGACCTTTGGCCTGGTCTTTAAAAAAAATGTATAATATGTTTGAATAGCTCAATCTCTTGTTGATTAAAATCACTGTGTTTGAAATATTGAGTGCTTCACATTTATTGTATTTTTTTGTTTTAGTATCTTACCAGTAACAGATGTGGCAAATATGTGGACACTGGAGTCTTAGCATCTGACTTACAGAGAATGTACAGGTAAAAAAAAATGTAGTCTTCAGATTCTTCATTTCTTTGTTACCATTTTTGAAGTTTACATCATACTTAAATTTCTCATCTATTAATATCTGTTGGCATTAGTTAGTCTATTCATAGTTTAGAATTCAGTTCATTTGTCCAGCTTTTTATCAAGCACTTGTTATAGGCAAGGAGTTGTCTCCTTATTACTAAGGGGAATGGCTAATACTACTTTCAGTATCTAGGTCTGGTCAGGATAGAAACAAATTGTAGTATTTCCTTTTCTACTCTTAAACAATCTAAATCATCTGACTTGAGATCTCCCTCAATTTCCCACCTGTTATCTACAAACGTGTTACTCATTTAGTATCCCCAGTGAAGATTAAATTTTGTTTGTTTCAATATCTTTATGTTCTTCTCCATAGTTTGTATATTAATTTGCTAGAGTTACCATAAAAAAAGTACTGGTTGTGGGTGATTTGGTGACGGGAAACCCAAGGAGATTGCAACTGAGATGGAAAAATGCACAAAGATATGTAAAAATTAATATAATAATAAAATAAAATAAAAATAAATTAAAAAAAAACTGGTTGACTAAAAAAAAAATTTAATTCCTAACAGTTGTAAATGATAAAAGTCTAAGTTCAAGGCATTAGCAATGTTGATTTCTTTTAAGGCCTTTCTCTTGACTTTTAGATGATTGTCCTCTTCCTGTGTTTTCATAAGGTCTCTCCTGTATTCCTGTATCCTAATTATAAAGACACTAGCCATTGGATTAGGACTCACCCATATGACCTTGTTATACCTTATTTATCTCTTGCAAGGTCCTGTGTCCAAGTTCAGTAACATTCTGAAAGGCTGGGAGTTAGTTAACTCTTCACTATATGTTTTGGAGAGACATGCACAGTTTAGCTTATAACCCTGCCTTTCCCCACAGAACTGATGTTCTTGATTCCAGCTACACTCTGGCCCAACAACTGCTGAAGTCTTAATCTATTTCAGTATCAATTATCAAATCAAAACCTAAATGGCATTTGAATCAGGTGTGGGTGTGACTCTGGGTGTTACTCAGCCAGCTGTGAAGCCAGACAACAAATGATCTGCTTCAAATGCATTGGGGTGGAACAGGCAGAGGATAGATACTCTCATTTCAAAAGGGAGAAACCAACAAGAAGAAAGGGGTCATCAGTCTCAGTTAAGACTGTCTAGCAAGGCAAATTCCACTAGATGTTAGGATTATCCCTTTGGCTTTATCTGTCCTGAGGTTTACTGAGGTGTCCTCTGGAAACCTACGAGGAGGCAGCACCACTCTCTGGGATTTTGCCCTCTGGGACAATGATGGGAGTGGCAGCCCTGCCACCCTCTGAACCTTCAGAGGCGTTTTCCCTTTTCTTAAATGCTAGCACGTGGTCATAGCTGGAGAGCTCTTTTGGCCTGTTCTGTAGGATCCCAGAATTGCGACAACCTTTCTTATTTCATCATCTCTGTCCCTTTTGGTCTAAACTGGCATTCTTTCTGATGCTATACCTCACCTCTGTTTATGGCTTCTGCTGGGAGGATTGATGGATAAGTTACGTGCCTTTTAATTATTCTGCCACACTTCATGTTCTCTCTGGGGCATATTTTCTCATTATTTCACACTATGAATAAGCTGAGATTTTTCCAAGTCTTCAAGCTCTGGGTTTTTCCCCACCCCCTTAACAGTTTCTTTAATTTATTGTTCTCTAACTTTGTTCTAAGTAGCAAGGAGAAACCAGGCTGTGCCTTCAACAGTACTTACACGTCTCACCAGCTAAATATCCAAGTTCATCACCATCATTCCACAAACAGTAGAAGACAGTTCAACCTGGTCTCCTGCCACTTTAAAAGGGTCTTTTCTCCAGTTTCCATTAACGTTTCTCATTTCTATCTATGAGATCTTTCTAGGAGGACCTTTAACACTTATTTGTCTACCAACATTCTATTTATGATAATACATGTTTATTTATAAAACTGTGTCTCTAAACTCTGTTTCTTTTTTAGTTCTTAATAGAGTGGCCTGCAGTGTCCATATTTCTACTACTAACTAGTCTCTTCAAGGCAATCTTGGCTTTTTCTTTTTTAAAGATTTGTTTATGCATACAGAACTGGGGTACAAGCCAGAGGTGTGGGGGATAAGAGGCTTCACCAGAGACAGAGTGAGGAGCAGAACAAGCAGGTTAATGAAGTACACTACTAAGGGGAACAGTGGGTGGGTCAGGAGAGATCTCCCATGCCACGTGGGTCAGCTCCCTGGCCAGGGATCAAACTCATGCTATAGTGACTGCAATAGCTTGTGCTGTGCTTAAACCCGTTGCACCAATCTCAGCTTTTCCTTTCTTTCTTAATTTTATAATATAATAGTTTATTTTTATATCATTTTGTATTTTTTTTTTTCATCTCCATTGCAATCCCTGTGGGTTTCCTATCACCAAGTCACCCTGTGCCATCACCATAGTGGCTTTTTCTAATATGGTACTCAAAACTCTCTTAACTTCTACCTGCTATCCAGTTCTGAAGTCATTTTCCATGCTTTTAGGTATTTGTTATAGTAGTACCATGTTTCTCAGTTCTAAAATGTATATTACTGTTATGGTAGCCCTAGCAAAATAATACTGTCTGTAAGTAAGCATAAGTTTTATTTTATTTTGAGGAAAAAAGAAAGGAAGAAAAACTAAAATAGAAGGCTTTAAAAAGCTGTGTACCCCACTTTAGCCATAACCCAATATTTCTCCTCCCCTTCATTAAAATTTCTTCTAACCTTCATTCCAGTCCTACCCCTCATGCTATTGAAATGTATGAATTGCCTTTTCTTCCTAACTTTTTGCCTTAGTTGATTATACAACCGGCCTCTCAGGTTGCACATTGGCACAATCAAAGTGTTAGCTGTTGGACTCTTCTTGGGGGTGCTGGAAGAGTACATTTCAAGTTCTTTGAGATTGTTGGCGTGATCTAGTTCCTTGTACCCATACGTCTTAGCTCCCTATGTGTGTTTGGCCAGTAGTCGTTCTCAGCTTTTAAGGGTCACCTGACATACCCCCTTTACCCCTCAAACCCATGCCAGGTACAGTACCTATCTTCAGATCTACCAACTTCCCTTTCTGTGTCATTGTTTTTCAGAGAAGTTTAGATTTGGGGGACGGTATCTACAACTTACTTTTAGCTGATTTTGCCAAAAAAATATTCTTGGTACATCAAAGAAGCAAAGTAAATATGTTCATTTATGAAGATAAAGAGTATAAGTTTGTTTAATGAAGATAAATAAAGAGTATAAGTTTGTTTATTACATTATTTCAGATTTGTATTGGTTTGAGATTTCAAAGTAAGAGAAGAAAGGACTAACAAGGCAAAATATCTGGAATATGTATAGTAATAAAAATACAAAGTTAAAAAACTGGAAATAGCTAGTATGGTTGTTACAGTGACAGTTGTTATATCATGCAGATTTTTGTGGTCCGGTTAAATCAAGCTTATGGAAAAATATTAGTGGAGACTGGTATACTAAACTTTATGCTATTTATTTATTTATTTTTCAGTATAGACTATGGTCGAAGAAAACGAAATGCTTTTAGGATTCAAGTAGAAAAAGGTGAGCCTTAAAAAAAAAAGTGAGTTTTATTATTAGAGAAGTTGAATAAAGCTAGGGAAAAAATTGTTTTCGCTTATGGTATTCTTTTTGTTTCAGTATTTAACATAATTAGCAATGAGAAAGAAATTAAGGATATAACAGAATTGGAAGATGAACATCTAGCAAAAAGAGCAAGACAAAGTGAAGAGGATAATGAGTAAGAATTATAAAATAAAGGTTTATTTCCTAAATCATGAACCTACCCACATTGCACTCTTATTTGTAAAACTTCCATTGCTATTGAAGCTCTGATTAGTATTTACTAACCTGTTTAGACATTTCCTTCAGGCATACTATTCCATGAAGAAATCACATTCTTTTTTGGTCTGTGCATTTGTGAGTTATCAGATGTCTCAAATGTGTCTCATTTGGTGGAGATGAATTTTCCTGAGTAGTGGTCAGAGCCCTGTGTGTAAGATTATACCTCTTTTTTGTAGTACATTGCAGATGCCCGTCCTGTTTTGCCATTTGCCTTTTTAGCTTATTATGTTTTGAGAAAGTTTTGTACCTTTACATGGTCACATCTCTTTTTCTTTATGGTTTATGCTGATATGCTTAGAAAGACCTTCATCACAGAGTATGTAGATTACCTATACCTTTTCCTGTTCTTTTAGGGTATAATCTTTAATGCAGTTGAAATTAATTTTTTTGTTTGTGTTAGTTGTAGGGCAAAACTGCTTTTTCCAGTGATAGAATAGTTGATTAGGAATCTCCCCCAAGTTATATTGATTGAATTTAGTGTATATAAAAAAAACTCATGTCTTAATTATACAGGTAGGTCCTAGTGTTCATGTAAACCTTTTCACTTGTTGAATTATTTTCTAAAGAAACTAAGGCCTCCCTGGTAGCACAGGGATTAAAGTCTCAGTCCTATCTATCTATTGCCAGCCTCTGCAGCATTCAATCCCGGGCTAGGGAGCTGACCTACATGGTACAGCTCTCCTATCTCTCCTGCTGCTCCCTTCAGCAGCATATTTCAGTAGATCTTCCTGTTCTGCTCCCCACTCTGTCTCTGGTGAATCCTCTCACCCCCACACCTCTGGCCTGTACCCCAGTTATTATATGCATAAATAATTCTTTTTAAAAACTATATAAATAGTAACAATCCTTGTAGTACTTAATAATTCCATTATAGTGAACTGCAACTCCATTTTCAGTTTGTATTTTTAGGATTTATTTTTTGCCATATCATATAAAAAATTCTTCATTCCACATGAACAAGTTTAGAAAAGTTATAGTTAGTTGCATGATTTGGCCTTGTTGAACTTTTGATTTTAACACTCAGGATGCTTAATTGTGGCTTACTAGAATGTTTTCTCTGTTGGGAGCTGACCTTCTTAAACAAGACGCTTGGATCTGATGGGAATTTGCATGTAATTTTTATTTATTCTAAGATAAAGATAACTAGAGTTTGTTAGTAAATATTATGTTTAAGATTTTGTAAGCCTTTGTTTAATCCTCTAGTAAACCAGTTAGATTTATTATCTCTATTTTATACATAAGGAAGCTGAAACTCAGAGAGGTTGAATAGGAGCTAGTGAATGGTAAAAGCTGGATTTTGAATCCAAATTTCTCTGATTCCAAAGGCTGGACTTTTAACCATTATAATATTTTGCCTTAGTACAGTTTCTTGTTAATAGGTAGTGATTTTTTTAAGATGTTAGAAAGGTCTCTAAAACATTTCTTTTCTTCTTTTTAACTGAGGTATATGGAAAGCTATTCTGATGATGATTCCAATGTGGAAGATTACCCAGATCCACAGGTAAACCAAACATTTAATGGACCCATTTTGGTTTTTTAAAAATAATTCTGGAAGGTTTCTCAAAACTGCTAAAAATCATTCTGAATGAACCCTCCTTAGAGAAATCAATAAGGAACAAAATAAGAGATTTTAAATATCTTCGTCAATAAATAATTATGTGGACAGTATTCATGAACTTGTAGGTTATCCACTAGTTGTGTTGATAGCCAGCTATACAGAGAGAAACAAGGGAAGAGAATGACCACAAATACAGACAGAATAGACAGAAATAAATGGAGTAATTAATAGTAAAAATAGAGAAAAGGATACATTTTCTGCCCAAGAGCTGGCAATACCAATTTAGGCTTGGATTAAAGGAAAATATGGGAATAATATGTCAAATTATTTTTAACTTATCTCTACTTTTCCCTGTCAGTAATTTAGTACTTGTATTACAAACAAAGTTATTGATACTCAGTTATATGTGATACCATTTTGAGTTGATGGGATAGTAGTGATTTATTGACTACCTACTTGTTTTTATAATTATGTTTTGTAAAGTGACCATACTTGTTTTGGTTTTATTTAACTGCCAATTATGAATCGGTGCATTAATTTGTAGTGAACGGGAAATGCATCTTTTAAAGACTAAATGTATATTTGTGAATCATCTTAATGTGAACATCTGTATTTTCTGACTGTAAATGTTAGAAAAGTTGTATAAGAAAAATTTAGAAAATTACTAGTACAGGTAAATAAACTTTCATGAATGCATATTGACTAATTTGTGTGTTTGTCCCAGTCAGCAAACCATATGAATAGTTCCGTGCTCTCCCTGTATCGAAAAGGAAATCCTAGTTCTGTCTCCAGTACTCCTGAGTTGGAACAAAGAGAAACCACTGCTTCAACACCACGAATCACTTCCAAAACAGGCTCCATTCCTTTGAAGATTCCTGCCAGAAGTTCTGAAGGGGGATGGTTTATTGACAAAACTCCAGGTGGAAGGAAAGACAGTTTTTTCTTGGACTTGTCAGATGAGAAAAGTAATCAGAAGAAACCACTTTCTGAGATAGAGGTATGTTTGTGTTGAAATTTAGCTCCATATAGTTGAAATATATTGAAACCCTTTCACTGACTATGATATCAGCAGGTCTTGTATTTTGTAAAAACAGGTATTTTGAAATAGCAGAATTCGTTATTTCCCACTGCCATTATCAGTTATGTCCTTTTTCTGGTCTTTGCTCTTTCTTGCTATAACTATTGAAACAACCTTCTAACTGATGTTTGTTTCCATTCTTATTCTTCACACAGAGATATCTTTTTTAAAGTTAGGTCAAAAAAAAAAGGTCATTATTATTGTTTTTGTATTAAAAACCTTCCAGTAACTTCCTTTAGTCTAAAATCAGAGATTGTGGCAATTGCCAATAAAAGTCCTGTATGATTAGGCTTCTCTGTTGTCTCTTTAATCTCATTACCTCCTTCTCCCCTCCCAGCTCTCCTTCAGCCACAGTAGTCTTTTGCTATTTCTAGAACACACCACTCGGGGCATTTGCACTTGTACCTTCTTCCTTCCTTTTTTTTTTTTTTTAAGATTTATTTATTTATGCATATAAGAACTGGGATGTAGGCCAGAGGTATGTGGGCTCGAGAGGATTCACTAGAGACAGAGTGGAGAACAATGTACTGAAATACACTGCTGAGGGGAGCAGCAGGTGAGACAGGACAGGTCTGCTGTGCCGGGTGGGTCAGCCCACTAGCCAGCAATTGAACTCATGCTGAAGTGGCTGGTGATAGCTTAAGAGTGCTGAAACTTTAACCCCTGCACCACCAGGAGGCCCTGCACTTGTACTTTCTGATGTGTCCTTGGATAATAACATCTAGCATGTAGTTAATTACTCAATTTCTTGAATTAGTGCTTAGTGAACTTGCTGAGATTTATTTACTAGTGAGAGCTAATGAAAAATTACTGTATCTTTGTAGTGTGTGTAGTGTAGGTGACATGCATCTGAGGAGGAGGTATGCTGTTATACCTCTAAATACACATGCCTTGCAAACCAATGTTACAGCAGTTTGAGAAAAAGGAAAATAAAAGGCTAACTACTTTGGGTATGTATTACAGAAAAGTAATAGTTTTAGGAAAAAGGGAGATTAGCTGGTCAAACAACAGTGTGGTTTGTTTTCAGTTCAGAATCTACTTTGAGGAATCCTATATAATTGGATACACTAAAAATACATCACATAAGTACACACCTTTTTTTTAACCTCTTAAATTGGAGTATGCTATGCATAAAGAAAAGTTAAGCTTAATGAATTACCACAAAGTTAACATCAAAGATATTAACTGATTCTTATTAATGCATAGTAGAGTGAGGGTTTTAAAGAAATATGCTCTAGGGATATAGTCCAGTGTGGTAAGTGCGAACTGCGTATGGCTATTGAGCACCTAAAATGTAGCAATGGGTTATGCAAATGAGGGCCTTAATATTTTTATTTAAATTTAAAAACTTAAAAGTTAATTCAGCTATTGAATCCTTCTAAGTAGATTTGAAATAATCTGCTTTTCAACTGTAAATTTATGACATGTTAAATATAAATCAAGTCTTGCCCATGAAGATTTAGTGTCTGGATTGTCATGTGCTGTAAGCTTAAAGTACATGTTGAACTTTGAAGATTTACAAAAATAATTTTAAAATACTTCATTGATAATTATTCATACTATATTGAAGTGATGTTTTTTTAAGTTCATTTAGTTAACTTGAGTATTAATTTCACTTGTGTTTTTTTCCTCTTTTTACATTGGGTACTAGAATATATAAAACTACATATGTTGCTATCATTACATTCTCTTGGACTCTACTGCAAAAAACCAAGCCATTGACTTTGGAAAACTCTCCCCTTTGGAACTATTAATGGACACTTCTAAATCTCTGTACTTTGAGCACCCATTTTTAGGGACTGTTACGATTGGCAGGGTCCAGGAAAAAGATTAACTGTTAGGTTAAATTATACTTTCTTTTGGCTGTCTGCAGTCATTTATCTTAGTGAAGAGCAGCCATCAGGTGAACAACTCTGTGAGTAACTCAATGAGATGTTAAACATGAATGTTAATGTCAAAACTGGAGAAGGTCACAATTCAGTGAGAGACAGTTTAGTCACGCAGGTACAGGGTAGATTATGGTATGCCAGAACATTTGCCAATTCTGAGAATGCAGTAGAGTGATGCTGGCTGAAAGAGTCTGAAAAGGAAACGCTCAGTTAGGAAAGAAATGAGTTTCAAGGCTATTGGAAGTAAGGGCATGCAGACACCATCTTTGGGCAGAGAGGTTGGGTCTAGCCAAAGGAAAGTGCTAGGGCAATGTGTGGGTTTTGTTTAAAAAGACACATTGTGATTTCAGCACATGTTTAAATTTCTAGGATTCAAAAGATTTTTCTCTTCTGGAGAGTGATAAAAAGAAGAAAAGCAGGCTAAAGAGGAAAGGAAACAAAAGGAAGCTAGAGCTTCAGGAAGTAGATGGAGAAATAGAAGCTGTCCTACAGCAGAAAGGTGAGGTGCAAGTCTTGGTGAGTGGCAGTGGCCATGTTTGCCTCGAGTGAGGCGCCACTGTCTTAAACTTGTGCTTGGGGACTTTCTGTGCAAAGCCATTTTGTATGTGCAGAGAAATATTTTCTAATAAGTGAACCTTTGTTTACTTGAAGATTTTAAATATAATTCAGTCAATACTGAGTCACTAATCTTTATATCTCTCCATTTTTTGTTTACCAGTCAAAGCCAGGGGACTAGAATTGCAGATCTCCAATGTGAAGTTTGAAGATGTTGGAGGCAATGATACCACATTAAAAGTTAGTTCAAATTCAAAGTGTTACCTCAAATGGGAATAATGCTAATTAGTTAAACAGTCTTACATTTTTGTTTCTAATGGGAGCTGGATGTGAAAAGGAGACTGGGACTGTGGAAAGAGCAGACCTGATGGGTACCATGCAGTCTTAAGGGATAAAAAAAGTCACTTTACTTTCAGCTTCTCACTATATTACTTATGCATATATAAGATGCCTTTTCTAAGTAATGTCTTCTTAACAGTAGTTATAATAGTGGTTACTATTTATTGTTTAGTGTCTCCCTGTTTGAGTAACTACACTAGCTACCTTTCTTTTTTTAATGATCTATTTTTATTTATACATAAACAAATTGGGTGTAGGCCAAGGTATGGTGGAGGTGAAAGAATTCACCACATGCAGAGTGAGGAGCAGAACAGGCAGATCTACTGAACTACACTGCTAAAGGGAGCAGCAGTATAGACAGGGGAGGTCTGCAGCATGTGGGTTAGGTCCCTAGCAAGGGATTGAACTCATGCCACAATGCATGGTGGCAATAGCTTGATAGCATTGAGACCTCAGCCCCTGCATCACTGGGACGCCATACTTTTCATTATGTCTGCAAGGCAAATGTAGTTAACAGCTGAGGAGATAGAACCTCAGTGGGATTATTGCTGAAGTCAAGTAGTGGGTTTAGAGCTTGAGTTCAAACTCAGGTGGAGTCTAAAATCTCGACTCTGCTAGTTTTGCTGGGCAAAAAAGAATGGGACATTCATTCCACATTATTTCTTGCTCTCTTCAGCTGTGAAAGACATTTTTCCTCTTTACTTCATGCTAGGAAGTCTGCAAGATGCTCATTCACATGCGTCACCCAGAGGTGTACCAGCACCTAGGTGTCGTGCCCCCTCGAGGAGTCCTGCTTCATGGGCCACCAGGCTGTGGGAAAACATTACTTGCACATGCAATTGCTGGGGTGAGGTTTGCTGATTGTTTGTTTTTTGTTGTTTGTTTTATTCTTAGTCAGATTTTTACCCAAACTTGACATATTCTTAGGAAAATATAATAGTTGAGACTTGACCCATTCTTCATTTTTATTTTTTGCCCCTTTCATAATGTTTATGAGGTGCTGTTTTTTCCTGTACATCCAGTTATTTATATGGCAAGAGTTTACTGGAAACAGAATATACAGCTGTAAAGAATGTTTTTTTATTTAACATGGTTTACATTTTTAGTTCTCTTTTTCTTTTTATGCTAATGCACCTCAAGAACCATAAAATGAGAAAACTAAGAATTACATTGGTTTTCCTAGGACTAGATTTGTGGAATCCAGATTGGTGGAATTTCCATTCAAAATCATACTTTTTTTAGTGTTAAAAATCCTTTCAAAAATGATGATAATGGGACATCAGTCTCTCTTCCTTTACCTCTGAGCAGTAGCAAACTGGCCCCTTCTCTGGTTTCAAGAGAGGAGAAATGCTGGTAGAGTGATGGAGACAACAGTGTCATAACCGCTGCTGCTTCCTGTTCAGGAGATAATAGATAAAATTGTATGGGCATAGCTCTAAGTGGAGGAGAAACTTCACCTGTCTTGGTATTTACTACCTTTTATTCAGAAGAGATAATAAAATTTTATAGTAACAAGTGTAAGATAAAAATAAGTAGGAGGTATTCACTTAATGTATTTGAGTAAATCACAAGCTTTAAGTAGTGATACTCATTGGACCAACACAAGTAGATAATGTTCCTTAAAGAATTAAGTCATTTAAAACATGAAAATTTGAAAGAGGAGCTAAAGAAAGGAAAAAACAGGGAAGTAAAAAATTTTTAAATTCAGTTGGTGGAGAGGGGAATAGGTTTAAAACTGGGGTGGGACTATGGTGATGTCACATGGGAGAAGAAGTGGTGGGAAGTCCACGGGGATTACAACTGAGATGAAAAAATGAAGAATGATTTTTTAAAAAAGTATGTTTGTGTGTGTGTGTTTGTCTGTGTGTGTACATATAATTTAAAAAATAAAATAAAAATTTGGTTATTCTGCACAGGAACTTGACCTTCCAATTTTGAAAGTAGCTGCTACAGAAATTGTATCTGGAGTATCTGGAGAATCTGAACAAAAGCTGAGAGAACTATTCAAACAAGCTGTGGTAAGTCAGCTAATGACTCTGATCCTCAGGCTATTAAATGTTTATGCTGAAGATCTTGTTTCCTCTAATGTTAGACTGTATGTGTTTAATCCACTCAGCAGGCCATTCTTTTGTAAACATGGTAATTTGCTACTCCTTGTGGCTTACCACTTACCATAGGTTTATTAATAGAGCCTGTAGAAAATAACCTGCTTAATCTGAAATCAGACAGGTGAGAAGCTGTTATACCCAGGAGGTTCAACACAGATTATCCTTGTAATGTTTTCTTTTACCCTCCTCAACTTAGGTTTGACCTGAAAACATAAAAGTAGTGTGAAATTTTTAACATTTAGGGTTATTACATTTTAAAAACTGCCCTGGTGGCACAGTGGGTTAAAGCACAACACTACAAAGCCAGCTGCAGCCGCGTCAGCACGAGTTCAATCCTCTGCCCCAGTCTGTCTTGCCTACTGCTCTCCTCAGCAGTGTACTTTGTCGATCTGCCTGTTCTGCTCCCACTTTTCTCTGGTGAATCCTCTCACTGCCCCTGCACCTCTGGCCTATACCCCAGTTCTAATAAATAAATCTTTAAAAAAAAAAATTCCAGGATTTAATTCTTCTCTTATTTTTGTAATTATAGCTAGAAGAGAAGATTGTTAAGCTCTACTTTCAGTGTAGTGTAATGATGAAATGTGTCCATTTTTTTCAAAGATTTATTTACACATACAAGAACTGGGGTACAAGCCACAGTTGTGGGAAGTGAGGGCTGATGTGCGTGGCCAATGCAACTGCTAGAAGCTGATGTGAAAATTAAAAGAGAAATTGTATTTTACTGGTAATAGAGAAATACTTTTTAAATAGCAAGGACATATCTACTTGAGGGTGGGAAGGGAAGGGTACAGAGCTAAACCCTGCCAAGAGTTACCTGTTTTCCAAAATGAGTTCTATTTAATTGTTAAATCAGCATGCACTGCCAATTTTGTCTTTAGGTTAAAGGAACATCACTTTTTCTTTCTGCTTTTGTCATTCCATTTTCCAGATCACTACAGATAAAATGGCATGCTTTGTATCTCTAGTGCATCCAGCAGTCATGAGTGCTCCTTTGCAAACACATAAGATTAGGAAGAAAACCTGCAAGTGATGTCCAGTATTCTTTCCTTTTAAAAGGCAGTAGTACCTATTTCTTTGAGATGTTTTACCCAGGTTAACTGTGACTCTCAGTATAATCATTATCACTCTTAACCACTGAATACCTGATTCAGCTGTACTTTAGATTGTAATTGTAGATAGTTTCATTACAGTTTTGTTTTTTTTTAAAGATGTATTTATTTATTCATACAGAACTGAGGTACAGGACAGAGGTGTGGTGGGTGAGAGGATTCACCAGAGACAGAGTGGGGAGCAGAACATGCAGATCACTGCTGAGGGGAGCAGCAGCGGGTCAGGAGAGGAGAGGTCTGCCCCGCCATGTGGGTCAGCTCCCTGGCCTGGGTTCGAACTCATGCTGTGGTGCCTTCGGAGAGCTTCATAATGCGGTGATTTAATTCATTGCACCACCAGGGAGAACCCTCATTACAGTTTTTAACCTTAACTAAACCTTATCTCTTTTTGCTTTTTTGCTTTTTTTTTTTTTTTTTT